CCGATTCGAAAGTCTCTAAATCAATATGTCAATGTACGGCCTACACGCATCCTCCCCGGAACCACGTCTCCTCTATCCAATTGTAAACCCGGGGACCTTGATTGGATGATTATCCGCGAGAACAGTGAGGGCGAGTACTCCGGCCAAGGCGGCACCTCCCATGAGGAAAGTCCCCATACCATTGCCACCGAAGTGAGCATCTTTACGCGCGTCGGCATCGAGCGAGTCATGCGATATGCGTTTAAGACAGCACGGTCGCGACCACGCAAGAAGCTGACCATGGTGACCAAGAGCAATGCCCAAAGACACGGCATGGTTCTCTGGGATAAAGTCTTCTACGAGGTTGCAAAAGAGTACGAAGATGTTGAAATTGACAAGATGCTCGTGGATGCTATGACTGTGCGCATGACGCTACATCCTTCTACACTGGACACTATCGTTGCTACCAACTTACATGCAGATATCTTGTCTGATCTTGCTGCTGCGCTGAGTGGGTCGATTGGTATCGCGCCATCGTCTAACCTCGACCCTACAAGAAAGAATCCGAGCATGTTTGAACCTATCCACGGCTCTGCGCCGGATATTGCAGGCAAGGGTATTGCGAACCCAGTAGGTGCATTCTGGAGTGCTGCTGAGATGGTGCGATGGGTTGGCGAGGAAAAGGCAGCGGATGGGCTTATGAAGGCGATTGAGAATGTCACCGCAAAAGGGGTTAAGACGAAGGATCTTGGTGGCAGTGAGAATACCAAGGGCGTCACAGATGCGGTGTGTGCGGAGATTGAGACACTCTTCAAGAGTGGCTGAGTGGTGTCAGCATGAACGACTGCGCAATATGAGATATATGTACATACCCATCATCAACACAAATTATACCACTTGTATGCCAATTTTCATATGCAAATGGTATCTTACTCTCACTCCAAGAACAACTCAGGAGCCTCACTCCGTCCCTCCACGACCCTACTTCTCATCCGCTTCTCCCTCTTATTCCTCTCATCGCCCACCTCTCTCAATCTCCACCAGTCCCTCCAAACCCTTATAGCCTTACCTTGAATCAAGCCCTTGCTAACAGGCCCAAAGTCGTTGCTATCCAAGCTCTTCCTCCAATTATCCCCTTCAAGCCATACATGTCCATATGGCACAACCACCTTGCCCACTTCTGGACCATCCCTCGCCGCTATACTGTCCTCATCATGATCTACCAGCCCATCCGGTAAACCCTTCAACCTCGCCTCATAGACTTGCGGATCAAGCGCATATCCCCTTGTAGGATAAACCGTATCTCCTTCCATAGCGACAATGCGTTTGATACCCATCTCTCCTGGTTTATGCGGTTTCCAAAACGTTACGACGTCACCACGTTTTATGCTCCAAACCTCCTTTTCGCTTTCTTTATGAACTGTACTATAATCAATCGTAGCATGGTACGGTATCACAATGACGTAGTCTTCGCGACCAGTCTCGTGCGCATCCGGGCTGAGTGTAGGTGCCATGGAGGAACCGCGGACGTGCTGTATTTCGAACCAATTGTCGCGGATGAAGAGCATGGCGGAGATCGCCGCGAAACCGTTTATGCCCCATTTTATGTAGCGTCGGCCTGTGCGGGCGTGGCTGGTTTCATGCCATTGAAGTGGTGGTGGAGGAGGACGACGGACGGGGCTCGAAGGTGATGCCGAGGCGGATAGGGATCGCAGCGGGGCTTGCGGACCTCGATTTGCCAGTCTGATTGGTAGGGAAGGCCTCACATACTGTTTTGGCGCAGCAGGAGGTATCGTAGGGAAGCGGATGGGAGGTTTGGGTGGCATTGGAAAGATTGGCGTTGCGATGGGGTCGTCGAAGGCGAAGCGAAGTTGCTCGGCAATACTTGCTCGCGTTGCGTCTGTGGACGCACATGCAATGTGCTCGCCATGTTTCTTTGGAGAGCTATAAATTTATCACCCACGTTTTGCACATCTAGATGTTGCATGGCGATGATATTGCTAGCTCAAAGGTGCTGTTTTAAAGCACATGCAGATTGGCACAAGCTGACAAGTTGATGATAACGTGGAAAGTTCAAGAGGTATCGGCGTATATCTAGCTAAATGGCAGCTATAGTACAAGGACTAGTACATATCCACAGCATGCAATCGCTACCATTCGGTCGTTTCAATGCTCGTCAAATCCATAATTTAATCTACTTCAGGGCCTTGATGACAGCGTCGGCGTACTCGAAGGTCTTGGCCTTGCCACCCAGGTCACCGGTGATGGTCTATAGAAGGATTAGCATACATGCTCGTTTCAACGTGGTGGATGCAACTTACCTTGCCCTCGGCGAGAACCTTGAAGATGGCCTGCTCGATGTTGCTGGCCTCCTGGGTGAGACCCATGTGTCGCAGCATCATGATGGAGCTGAGAAGAAGCGCGGTGGGGTTAGCGAGCTGCTTGCCAGCAATGTCGGGCGCGGAACCGTGGACAGCCTCGAAGATGGAGCAGTTGTCACCGATGTTACCAGAGGGAGTAAGACCGAGACCACCGATGAGACCAGCGCACATGTCGGAGAGAATGTCTCCGTACAAGTTGGGCATGACGAGGACCTTGTCGTTGTAGGGGACAGGGTCGGTAACCATCTTCAAGCAGGTGTTGTCCAGCAGCTCGGCGTCGAACTCAATGTCGGGGAACTCCTTGGAAATCTCGCGGGCGGTGCTGAGGAAGAGACCGTCGGACATCTTCATGATGGTGGCCTTGTGGACAGCGCGGACCTTCTTCCTGCCAATGTCGCGGGCGTGCTGGAAGGCGTATCGCAGAACGCGCTCAGAGGCCTCACGGGTGATGAGCTTGATGCTCTGTACGACGCCATCGACGACAATGTGCTCAATGCCAGAGTACTCTCCCTCGGTGTTCTCACGGATCAGGACGGTGTCGACGTTGTCGTAGGGGGTCTTGTAGCCGGCGATGGATCTGCAGGGACGGACGTTGGCGAAGAGGTTGAAGGTGCGGCGGAGGGTAAGGTTGAGGGAGACGTGGCCCTTGCCAATGGGCGTCGCAAGCGGGCCCTTGAGGGCGACCAAGTTCTTCTTGACGCTGGCGATGGACTCGTCGGGGATGACCGTCTTGCCGTCCTCGTTCAGGCGCGGGGTGACGTCGACCGACTCCCACTTGATTGGGACATTGGCAGCCGAGTAGATGTCCTTGACCGACTGCGCAATCTCGGGACCGATGCCATCACCCTCGATGAGGGTGACCGAGTACTTGCCGTCGCTGCCCTTGGTTCCGTGGAACTTGGCCACCTCGGAGGCGTATGTTCGGGCGGAGACCTATGCCGCGGTCAATACTGTTCAACACGTCGTCGCCTGGAACCTGCACGCCTCGACGTGTCGAGGCGCAAGACTCGTCTGTCCCGCTCGCTGGAAGCTCACCTGGGAGAGCGCGGGCGCCCATCGGGAGCGGTTGGCCTGGCGCAGGCATTGGCGCGCTGGGGCGGCGAAGGAACGAGCAGCCAACATGTTGAGGGTATCGCAGTGTGGCTACAATCCAATTGAAGCTACACTTTTGCTGTGGAAGTCGTCAAGGTGGGTTGGTCGGCGGCGGGAGGGTTGCGCAAAGCTCGGATACAGAAAAAGAAAGCTCCACCGGCCGCGGGATGTCTTCGTGCGTCAAACCGGTACCTTCCGCCTCCGTCATGGCATCCCGTCCGCCCAACGCCCTGCATTCACTCTTGCGCCCTCGGTTAACACCATGCCTCTTATCTGCTCGCCATGTCCTTGCGGAATAGCAACGACAGCACCCGCTCGAAACAAAGCATCGTGACGCTGCATCTCGCATCCAACACCACTCGGCGCAACGGAACGACTTGACTAAACCCTTTGTCACATGCCAAGTTTGTCACTAGGTTGGCCGTGTCATCTCGGCATGTCTGGACGGGCTTCACTTGCACGATTCAAGATTCTGATTCGCATGTTGGAAACAACAAAACAATGCCATAGTACCATCTTGGATTGAGACAAAATTTCTTACTCGCTGGAATCACATGCAAATCCCTCACCAAGAGCAGCATACAATAGAACCACACGTCCGCTCATTCCGTCCTCCTCTCAATGTAGCACAGCGGGCTGCGGTCTCCGAACCCTCTCCTGCATCTCCTCCTCGCTCATCGTCAAACCCGACTGTGAATTAGTAAAAGTCGCTGAAGCACGCTTCCTACCACGCCGATCCAGCGCAAATACAACAATTGGGTAAAGGAGAAGAGCGGCACCGGCTATGGCGCCAAAGACTAAAAAGCCAAGGAATATGCGGAATTCAGTACTAGAAGTGTCCGGAGGGTGAGGAGGTGTGGGGAAGACAGAGGTCGTGTTTTGTAGAGTGACTGGGTGGGTGTTGTTATTACCTACAGCTCTGGTTGCCATCGCCGTGAGTGTTCTGGCCGTCTTCGCGTGGTACGCCGATATGAGTAGCAAGCAAAGAGAGAAGTTTTAAAGAAAGGTTTGAGCAGCTTAGGGTCGTTGAACCCGACGTTGTGAACATACTCACCTGGCGGTCAGTCACTGTCGCTGTACAACACCCAGTCTGCGTATACAGCGTTTTCTGACTTACGACTTATGATGAATTTCTGTCCGTCTCTTTTCTCAGGCCTCGCCACCAGCTGATACCGAACCAGACGAAGCAACTCAACAGCAATATTGACAACAACTTGAAAAATATTAGATCCACGATACTGGAGGGACTAACAACCAAGAACCGGAACCCTTCGAAGATATCCTTGTCAACATAGTCTTCTACCAAGGAGAATGGCTGGCTTTATCTGGCCCGGTGCCAGCCCAAGCACCAGTCCGACTGCCTCTGCCTCATCGGCTCTAGGCTCGCCCTCTAGAACATCTACAGCAACTTCAACAGCATCAGACGGAGGCGCATTCTTCTCTTCCGACGTCCCAGCCTCCACCGCACTCACCTCGACCGCACTAGATTATGGTACCTTTTACTCATCATCCATTTCCCTATCGACTTCCACTGCATCAGATGGAGGCATGTTCTTTTCTACAGACATCTTGGTATCTGCTACTGGTCCTACGGTAGTTACCTCGACTGCACTAGATTCCGGTATCTTCTACTCATCTGACGTCTTCACCTTGACATCAACGGCATCAGATGGCGGAACATTCTTTTCCTCCAATACTCCTACATCCACTGTTGATTCGCACACCAGTGCCCATTGTCTCCCAACCGCACACCTCGACAACCCTCTGAACCCTAATGTGGCACCGCCGATTGATGCTGTACCATCATTCGTTGACTACAGCACACCACCAATTGCATTACCTGAAGTTGCCGGGCGTGCTTTCGACCGTGGAACACCATTTGAGATGCCCAATCTTACGTCTTTAGGAAAAGAAATGCCTACGGGGTTATCGTCAGTTTTGACAAAGCGGGCCGTTCCCAGGATCGCGAGTAACCCAGGTCCGATTCTCGGCGCTGTGGTAATCGTTCTGGGTATCGTTCTTGCGTTGTTCTTGTCAGTCAAGTACTGTTTGCGCAGAAGTTCCGGGCCCCACGATTTGGAAAAGGGAAATTATCCGTACACTCGCGGTCGTCGTCGCTACCGGGATGGTTCACCTTCAGTCACTCGTCCTGATGACATTCCAATCTCCGAAGGCTATGGCATGGATCCCGTCGATCTTGCTCGCGCTCAGAATTGGCAAGACGGTTTCTCTGAAAAAGGTGTGGATGTTACCCGAGACTGTGTAGATCGAGCCATTAGCGCTGACAACTTTCAGTGGATTCCCATTTCCGGAGGCGGTAACGGTGGCGCGTATGTATCTCCGCAGCTTCCCAGCTCCATCCCAACACGCAAGCTGGTACCTAAACCCCGTCCTGTAACCCAGCTGCCGGTGCCCTCATCCGACCTGCGCCCTCTAGATATAATTGATCAGCCAGTCTCCGCGTTGAGTTCGGACGATGGACAGATTGATCACAACCGTACGCGAGATTACAACAATGGCTCACCTCTTAACTCGCCTACAATGCGTCGTGGTCCTTTTGGGTGGTTGTGAGGGTGCACCCGAAAATGTGGTGTGGTCGCTGAAGATGAAACACAAGCAGTTGTCAGAGACGCGTTTTCAGCGGGTGGACCTCGGGGTTTTGGGTTTCGCACACATATCCTGCAATCTTGCTTTTAATCCTAATACTCGTTACTTCAAACACAGTGATTAGTTCTTCCCATCAATGTTCCTTTCTTTATATTACTTTTTCTGGGTTTCATTGTTCTTATCACGGCTTAACTATCGTGAACCACCCTTCGACATTTCACTCGTCCACATTCATTCAACAATTCACCCACAGTCGTTTCTACATATATTTTCGCAACCGGATAATATTCCTACCACGTTCTTTACATAGATAATACAATATGCCAGCGCTTAAATTCCACCACCGCGCGGAATCCATCAACGCCGAGGACCACAAAATCGGTCCTATTCCCTTACCATGGTTTATTCCAATGTGCATTTTTGCGCCGTCTTTCCTCGCATTTATAGTATGGGTGTTTTACCTGCAAACCGTGAAGCGATATCAAAACAAGAAGCAACTACGGGCGCAACAAGAGCAGGAGCGCATGGCGAAGAAAGAGGTAGAGACGCAGATGCAACAGTTCATTGGGGCCAGCGCAAATAGCGCATATATTCGCGCACCAGAAAGAGCCGTGAGAAGATAGAGAGTAAAGATGAGTCAACTCTATAAAGATACAATTCCATGGCAAGAGAGATGTGGATGAGGCGAAAAACGGTGTCCTATGCCGGCTTCAAACTGCGCAAACCAGCAGTGAGTAGTGCACACTGACCTTAAGGGCTTTACGTTGTTTACTTACAAAATGATTCCAGAGTCTTCAAAGCGAATATTGTGAATGCAACATGTCTCGCAAGTCTTCACATCACATCTCCACCTGGTCTACAAGAGATCTTTGGAGTCTCTTCACCACATTTCATCATTCTCTCTCGACGCATCATAAGATACTCTCAAAGCCGGACTTCCAACCACCTTTGTATCCAACAAAACGTCATTACAACAACATGCCACTATTCTACCCCTACATCCCCAGCGCCGTCGCGCCCACACCAACCCACAACTGCAACTGCGCGCCTTCTATGCCTCCCTTCTCTTTGCTTACACCAACGGTAACATCGCCAGTAGACTTCGCCCGAACATATTTCTCGACATTGGTGTCCTCACACACTATTGAGGGCATTTTACACCGAATCTCTGCGGCAGATACCCTTGCTACACCTACCTCAGCACTTGATTTGACTATGAAAGCAGAAGCCCCCGGATCTGATGGTGGCGGTATATCGACTGGTGCTACTATCGGTATCATCGTCGCTGGAATCGTCTTACTTTTCGGTATCGCTTTCGTTGTGGTGAAGGTGCTTCGTTATTGAGTAGAAAGGGAGGGTTGTTCGTCGTGAAAAGGTGTTGGGAAAGGAAGGGGCTAGATTAAGCAGAGAGTTCCATGGTTGTATAGCAATGAGGCTATGTGTTTAGATTCTGATCAAATGTGATAATGATTAGATGACTAGATCTTTGCGGCTCTTGTTTTGCTTTTTGTTCGCTAGATGGCAAGCGAAGTGGCTTGCAATCATCTTTTACTAGTACTGAACGACGTATCGCATCGAGCCATACATATCTATTTTCGCTGCCGTAGTGTCCTAGACGCATCTTCAGATGCAGTTCATCCTTCCGTGTTGATGCCTCTTTGACTTCTTGATCTTTTTGCTGTCATTGCTTTCGACGCTAGACAAGAAGCCGTCCTTTTGTAGCTTTATGTTACCAGCAGGCGGGACCACTGATCGCTTTCTTTTGCCATTGTTCTCACTGGGGGGTGAGGAGCGAATTGGTAGTGTTGATATGAGTGAGAAAAGAGTGGCGAATGTAAGATGTGGTATATCGAAACTTACTGTCGTCTTCCTCATCATCTGAGTCTATGACCACACGTCGTTGTCGTGGACAGATCTCCGATACGGCTTTGCTCTTCCCATTTTTCTACGTTCAATTCGGTCTCTAGTAGTTGAATCGCTGTTCATCCTCAGTACTTTCCTGGTGCCGTGATCAGAAACTATGACGGCAACTTGGCATGTACCGGGCCTACTGCGCCGCATCGGTCACCATTCTGTACTCGTCCTCGGGGCTTATTTCTTCGTCATTCAAAAGCTTCACGATCGCAAGAACGAGAAATCTGCCAGCTTTACAATCGATAGAGTTCAGATGAGTTACTACCGCGCGAAATGCAGCCTTTGATGGCCTGGTTCTTCTCTTAAGAAGGGGTCTTGGCTTCGTATATGAGAATCTGGGGAATTGCACTACCATAGCGGGAGGTTGGAGTAAGAAGGATGATTAGTCTAGTGTAGTAACATTTCTGGGTAGCAATAGTATGATTTAAAAAGAGAGATGACAAACAGAATCTGTCTTACTAAGAAAGCAAAGTAAGTAAGAGTTTGTCACTTTAAGATAAAAGAAATTGCTAAACATAAGAATTATTTGCGTAAAGACTATTTTCTGTCTTTGTTTCACTTTTAAGACTTGTGAATCATCCAAAATGTCGTTTCCACAAGGCTAACATCCTCTTTCTAATTATTCACAATGTGAGGTGCGTCCTTGGTGCAGACACACTATGGCCGAGTTTAGTGATGATCATATAGGTCTATAGGACATATGATGATTTGGCTGGTCAATAGACGTTTGAGCGAGTCAGGGGCAGAGAAGCGGCTCATGTGCAGAAAGAGGATCTTGTGGTGAGCTAAAGTGTAGGATCATGCAAGGTGAGAAATCCAACAGTATGTATCCAACAAGAGCTTTGTGTATTGAACGTCGCGATTCAAAATATCATAGTATTTCTAGTACACCTATATACTTGTGCATGATCTGCGGCATTGGACGTGCGGGTTGAGTGCCATTCGGTGTCAGCATTGGATACTGCCCCTCGCATCGCACATCACGACAAAGTTTCGTGGAGGCCTGTCATTCAAACCCTAATCAGAATCAGCAACCATCAAGGTTAATCCAAGGGCCTCAAAAAGGAGGCTCGAAGAAGCGATGTACGCTCTCCGCGGGCTGCGGAGTGCAACGTGTGATGACAGCTAGCGTACTGAGGTGGAGCTCGGCCGAGGCCTCCGCTAATATTCGAGCGTATGTTTGCAAAACATGCCTGGTTGGATAGACTCCTGGAAGTAAGACGTCGTCATTTTGTTAGCTTTTTCGTACGCAATCATGTACACAACAGACAAACACTGTGTGAGGCGGACGAAACGCTTCCTGACGCCTTGCTGAAGGTGGGTACGCATCATGGGTATCCTTGTTGATGACTTCAGGTAGTTGTATTTATATTGCTTTGTAGACGACGGGGGATGGCGTCAGTTAACTACACGAGTACTACATCTGAAATCTGCTACCATCATACAATCTTCCGTGCGATCCTTGCATTCTGTCAACAAAACATGTGTCCTTACAAAGCCCTAGAGCCTACTACGGAGTCGGAGACCAATGTGTGAGTTCTCAAAAAAAAACCAGTTCAATTCCTTCAGCAAACGATTCTAACGCGCTTATTCAGGGTCATAATAGGTGCTGGGCCCGCGGGTCTCATGGCCGCTTGGTGGATGGCGCGTTGTGGCACCAAGGCACGCATCATCGACAAGCGTGGAACCAAGGTGATCAATGGCCATGCCGACGGGCTGAGGCCACGTACGAATGAGTTCTTCGACAGTATGGGCGGGGGGATAATTGAGAAGCTTGCGAAAGAATCGTTCATATTCGAAAACCTGAAGAACTGGGTATGTTAACTGTTTATAATTTCACTGGCAAGGCACATTCAATTAACTCAAAAACAGTTCCGAGATTCTAACGGACAACTCATCCGTGCAGGTACGCAGCAGCTTCAGGGAGACTACGTCAACGACCTACCCTCTCCTTTCCTGGCTACCACTATCTCCCAGGGACGTATTGAACGTTTCATCCTCGATTCAATCGCTGAGGTTTCCAACGGCGGGTTCAAGGTGGAGCGCGGTGTTGTGGCTGAATCCCTCGTCTACGATGCTTCCCAAGAGAATAACCCACACAACTATCCTATCCAACTGACTTTGCGTACGCTTTCCGACATTGAGGCGAATCCACCCCCAGCACCAGGTGCTTTTGGCGGACGGGATGTCATCGCCAAGGGCAATTTACCGGACGATGAGGTACATCAGGAGAGCGGTACTAGCGGCTCGCCCGGGCATGTTGAGCTAGTCAAGGCCAAATACGTGATCGGTTGCGATGGCGCACATAGCTGGCTTAGGCAACAGCTGAACTACAAGCTTGAAGGCGCCTCAGCTCACTCCGTATGGTATGTCATCAACTTCGATATGTCCCCAAGTTGCATTCACTGACCGTTATTAGGGGCGCGATAGACATTGTCCCAATGACGAATTTCCCCGATATACATCACCCTTCCTTCATCAAGACTGAGCTAGGGATACTGATGATCATCCCCCGCGAGCGCAATATGACGCGTCTCTACGTACCCTTGGATACCGCGTCTTCTAACGAAAGGCTTGATCGCTCATCAGTCACTCTCGACCAGATCTTCCAAAAAGCCAAAAAGTTCTTCCAGCCGTACACACTAGACTTCAAAGTTTGTGAATGGTGGAGTGTGTATGGGGTCGGTCAGCTTGTTGCCGAACGCAACCAACATCCCTCCGCTCGCATCTCTCTAGCTGGAGACGCTGTACACATGCATTCACCCAAGATCGGATTGGGCATGAACACAAGCATGCAAGACGGATACAACCTCGGATGGAAAGTTGCCATGGCAGCAGCTGGTATAGTTCGCGATGAGAAAGCTCTCCTTACGACTTATGTGGGGGAACGATACCCCATCGCTCAACGACTCGTCGCTTACGATCGAACACTTTTCGGTGAACACGGAATCGTTGACCCCGGAGAGTACCTCAAGCAACATGAGCGGTTCAAAGAGTTCGCAGACGGCTTCAAGCTCGATTATCCGGAAAGCATGTTGGTTGCCAAAACGTTGTCTAACCAAGCTGCTGCGACTGGGCTCATTATTGGAGAGTCTTTCAAACATCAACGAGTTTTAGGCCACGTGAACTCGCAGCTGTACTGGACTACCAAGCTATTTCAGAGTGACGGTCGCTTCAGGATTGTCCTTCTGGCTGGAGACGTGAGTCTTCCAAATCAAATGGCCAGAGTCAATACGTTCTGCAAAGAACTTGACGAAGAGAAGAAAGACAGGAACGGTAATGCGACATCGCTTCTTCGCACCCGATACCCATACTGCTTCGTCCAGCCCTCGCCTCCGCTGTTGCGGAATGCCCTGGCCACCAGCCAACATCCTGCCATCTCTTTCCTCCACGAAAGACCCTGCAAGTCGATGATTGATCTTCTCGCCATCCACAGCACCGTTGGTAGCACGGACTCTATCTCAATGTTTGACTTCCCTGTCGCACTGTACGGCCCTTTCGACGCCGATTACCATGGCTGGGACCACACACGTATCCATGTTGATCAGGCTGTGCACTATGACCGCTACTGCGATGGTTTGGCGTACGAGAGATGGGGCGTTGACAGAACGAAAGGTGCTGTCGTTGTAATTAGGCCTGATATGCACGTGGGATGGGTCGGTGATCTAGAAGATACACAGGCTATAGAGTTATACTTTTCTACTATCTTTAAGTAGGTCGCGTTAAGCGATCAAGTACTCGCAGCCTTAATCTACTAGCTGTTAGCTTAGCATAATAAGAATGCTTACCTAATGTTACATTAATTCGAAGTCCTAATTTCTACGCTGTTTACTATTAGAACAAAGATCTACACTACTATACTATGCAACTAAAAAGGTACGTATAACTACTAAACTACTAATTATAGTGCAGGATATTATATATTATTAGCTAGACCGAACACCTACTTACTGTGTTATGGGCGGAAAGAGGCCTGCTAACGAGTATGCATTTGTCCTATATACAGAAGAAGAAAGATAGAGAAAGAAAGAAGTAATAGTACTTTTCTCTTCTTATAGCGCAAAGCGTTCGTACGCTACTTGCGCTAAAAGTGTACGGAGAAAGGTTCCTCCCTTCCTGGCGTCTGTCGTACGACTCACCGGCGTAGCCTCTTACATACTGAACTTATGCCTGCTGCTATTACAACAGGCAGAGGCTTAGAGTAAGAAGCCTTAGCTAGGTAGTCTCGAGGTTAGGTTAGTTATCTGAACCTGCCCGGGATTGCGCTGGGACGCAGCCGGAGTTCTAGGCGGGGCTAGGATAGCTATCTAACTCCGCTTAAGATTGCGCCGGAACTTAGCTAGAGTACTAGGCGCTATCTATAACTTGCCTAGAGTTTAGATTTGCCTACACCTAAATACCTATCTTATCCTAAGGAGATCTCGATAGTTAATTCATCTCAACTTAATCTACCAGCAAGCATCTCTTGATTAGCCCGTTACATCTAGTATCTCAATGTCGCCATCTACACATCTGTCGTGTACATCAGTGCTGGTAGAGGAGTCGGAGTTATTGGAAACATTAGAATCGAGACTGTAGTGGACGAAGTTGTCTAGAACAACAAAGTCGCGGCCACTGCTGGTTCCTCTTGCGTGCGTAGGATTCGTGAATGCCGACGTCGTTCGTTTTGCGCCTACATTCGAGCGGTATTTCGTGTTTGACTTCGTGCTTTTAGCTGCTCGAGCAAAGCTTGTAGACTTATGAACCTTGTAGCTTTCAGTAGTTGCTTTGATGGACGAGTTGATGTAGCAGTGCCGAAATCGGGATATGGCTCGTCGTCATCCCATTCCAATGCTGGACCATTCGAGTCTATCTTGAACATAATCTCGTCACTATCTTCATCTACTCCAGTTCGATACCGCACTGTTGGTGCCTCGCTCATTCTAATAGCTTGTTCCCTGGCTCGTGTTAAGTCACCCTCTTTATCGATGATGAGTTGCTAGAGATCTATGACAGCAAGAGCCGGTACTACAGCCATCAGTTGAGCGACTTTGCTTCTCATACTGAAGTCATCAATATCTAGGAGACTCATGTTTGTATCCCGTAGGAGGTTTGGTTCCCGACTGGGTGCCCCAGGAGGTTGATGTGTCGGACATTTCATGAGCGGGCAGTCGCGAGGTCCCGGCATCAGCCATCGTGGTCGATCGGATTCTTAAACTAGCGTTCGAACGTCTACCATTCATTGTTAGAGATGTTGTGATGCTTTCGAAGTCGTCACAAACCCAGAATCAGTGCGTAGCCCTTGTGTTCTCATGTTTCCGTCATCTGCTGTTGTAGCACTGTGAAAACGACGACGTTTGCGACATATGGCAGGCTCGTGAGTTGCCGCTGCACCTCCACGACTAAGAGGACTTTGGATAACATCCGAAGACGCGCCTCGGTATGCGAATGTGCTAACAGGGCTCTGTGTCTTTGTAGTGTCTCCCAAAATAATTTTCTCCTGATGCCTCGTGCTACTGGAAGACGTGGGTGAGGAGCGGCGCGGAACGCAGTCTGTGGGCGCATGGGTATTCTCGAGTGGCGCGTTGACGTTTCTATTCAACGTATCTTGGTTCCTTTAGGACATTTGAGGATCATAATGAAAACCTCCTGAATTCGGATCGACGAGTGAGATAGCAGATTGATGATGGGCCAATCTGCTCACCTTAGCGCTGATCTGAGGTGCATTGTGTGTATCGCCTATCGAGCTTACTGCAAAGGAGTTCTTGCTGGCGCATCATCATCGCTATCGAGCGTGATCGGTAAATCTTGTGAGGCGCCTACTCGGATACTGGGCTCGCCTTTGGAGCCAGCTTGGGATATCTTGCGAACAGATATTTGAGGCATTCGCTTTGCCCGGCCGCGCTTCTCTTTTCCTGTCGCTGGACCCATGTTGATCTTCTTAGTGTTACGCTGGAAGCCCATGCTGTTTTGTTGCTGGCAGGCAGACTTAAGCTTTCTTTGCGTAACAAGATGATTGAGCTTCGACAGCTCCAGTAACGATGCAGTGTGGAATCGCGGCAGTCCGCATTGTGTTTGCGAATCGTCGTTACCCGTAAGACAACTCTGATATTGGCTGTTGGGACCGTAAGGTAACAGTATATATGATGAGGTATGCATGGAAAGATAGGTAGGGGAATAGCGCAGGGACAGTATCAGGGCATAACGAAAGTGAAGGTGGGATTTAGCGAGCGTTATGGCGTCGGAACCAAATTTTCGGAGAGCGGTATCGTTGCGCGTAAAGACGAGAGCGCAGCGGTGTTTGTCACACTTGACGCTAACACGAGGAATGCACGAGACGATCGTGCACGCACACATTGTCTATCTTACTGCACAGCGGCAGCATCATGAAGTCTCCGAAATTAGATTCACCAGTCGTCAAATGAGTTCAACATACAACACGTCTCGTTCTGCGAGGCAAAGGAGAAAACCCTTAGTAATCGCTGGGTGAGCGAGGCGGAGTAGAGGTTGTGAAAGACACTGAGAACGAAAGATAGCAAAAGGACACGGATAATAGTCAAAGACGCAGGACATCGACTCGTAGGGGAAGAGCACCGTTTCGAAATGAGAGTCAAAGAAATATGCGCCGCCTTATCAACCTCTTCTTGCGCATGACGCTCAAAGTATTCGCGATTCAACAACCACTGCGACAGATGACTGTTGATGCGGTCTATTACAGCGATATTAGTCGCGTTTAAACGTATGTTCCTACGCACGTATTCAACCTGCTCACTTTCAATAGTACTGACTTCCCACATATCGCTCGATCGCTTCCCCACCGTACTTTTGAACTCCTGCGCGTTTCAACCCTTCGGAGATCTGTGGCTCTGGTACCCATACCCCAGTCTCACACGCGTAGTAAATCCTTCTGTGATCCTTGTCCTCCGGCCTTTCATCACCCCACTCCGCTCTCTGGCCTGGCGCGTGATATGAAATGTGCAGTTTCCCTGCCTTACCCACCATATCAGACGTAAGCATGAAGGACTCGAGAACTGGCATCTGAGTAACGGCTTTTGCGAGCGCGCCGAGAAAAGGATCGAAGGTCTCTGGATCGGGGTGCTGCCGGAAGTCTGCCCAGCTGAATTCGCGTGTATCGACACTTCCAATAACTCCGTGCTCGGGGTCGTCGTCGGAATCGTAGGCCGGTGTTGGACCAGTGAAGTACCATTTACCAGATGGAGCGACCATGTCAAATGTGATGTCAAGCGACTTCAAGTGTGGCCAAGACGGTGGAATCGCGTTTCCATCTGATGGCCAAAATAGCGTAGGGTCGACGTGCGCACTCAAAGTGAGAGTTGTAAGACATTGTGAAAAGGTTCGGATTGATGAACTGAACGGGTCGTATGTGTAGCCTTCTGGCACAATGCTCGGAACTGTGTACCTCTGGTCTGAAGGAGTGCAGTGGTATAAGACAATATTGGCAGAATTGAGCGAGCGGAAATGCGTCATCGAGAGCTTGTTGGCAAATTCAGCGCGCGCTGAGGCGCGCGCCTTGGGAGATGTCGCCGACTCCCACTCCGGATCAAAGTCTGAATCCAATGAATCCTGATCCGACCCCGCGTCAGAATCAGCCTCGCAGTCTGGAAACTCCCAGTCCACTGTCCTGAGCTCTGGCAGTGCCACACCTAAATTTGGTGCAACGCTTGGTGCAAGTCTTCGCCCACCCGAATTCTCGATAGTGAGATGCTGCACATTAGATAATGTAGGCAGATTCTCGGGTTGCACAAGGCGCAGGTGCGAGTCTGCCCAACGAGCGGATTGAATATCTCTGCATTCACCAAGCTCAATCTGGAGCTCATCCACTTCCCGAAAGTCTGTTGGCGACGAAGCTCCCACAATGTTAAGCCGCACTCCGTTCTTCACACCATTATCTTCCCAGGTTCGCAACACGGTGAAAAGATCGCTAACAGCTTTCGTAAATGCCTCGTTGTTGGCATGCTGATCAAGCCGTGACTCCTTGTGTTCGTATGCTTCTCCCGAATATGTTGGCAGTTCCGCTTTGAAACTGATCCAGGAGAGGTACTTGCGACGATTTCCTGTTACAATCGACTGAAGCGATCCCAGCTCATCGCTCTTGACACCTAAATGGTGAAACGTAATGGTCTCAACTGCTTCCTTCCAAGTGCGATTGAGAATGGCAAGGCGAGGAAACTGAGATGGCGCACCATCGGGCTTGAAAGATTGTCCTATCGCCGAATGCCACTTTTCTTGGTCTGGGTAGCGCTCTGCGAACCACACTATACGATTGATCAGCTCCTGTGGCAGTTTGTCCATGGCGTGAATGAGGTAGGAAAGGAGTGTGCCATCGTTGTGGAAACGCTGTTGAGCAGGTACAAGGGGTACCAAGGCGCTAGCAGGGGTTTCCAAAAATGTATGTAAGAGCAAAAGAGTATTCTCAAGGGTATCAGGAAATACGCAGCTGCAGATGCGATCGACTAAGTCCTGTATGAGTTATTTCATAGCCGCGAATTGTTTGTCGGGTGCAAGAAAATCTCTCCATTTGTGCTCAATTCCAAGTCATCTGTTCTACATCTCTTTGATATGTCTACATTGACATAACGTGAAAGCTATAATAAAACGAGTTCACCGAGCGCAAAAAGATAGGGTGAACTAACAAAAAACATACAACAGCGGGGATTCGCTAGTGGTCACCCACCTAACTACTAATCCGCCGGTACACTGCTTGTATATGGCTGAG